TAATTTCCTAACCTTTCACCTTACTATGAGGAGATCACTTTCCAGCAGGACATTATGCGGGAAACAGTTAACTGTACAGCTATAAACACCATGTCAAAATCAGAAAGGTCTTAGAAAGCTGTTTAAATTAAAATAGTTTTCTTTGTAATAGTATTCAATGGAACTTTAAAAATCTTAATCTAACAGCTACAACAGAATGTGATGAAATATCTGCTGAATTAATTAAGGATGTATTTGTTTGTTTGTTTATTTTTTGTTTTTCTTCCAGTACCAGGAATGGAACTCACGACCTTGCGCTTGCCAGGCAGGCACTTTGCCGCTGAGCTAAATCCCCAGCCCCTAAGGATGCATTTTGTAAAACTTCAGTAAGGACAAAATTTTCAAATTTTTCCTTTTATTTTTTTGCGTGTTTTCTATTTAGCTATTTAATAGGTGCTCAGGAAATGGATCCTCTTAAATGCATGTATTCACAAAACACATTTGTCATGAAACTCTTTAAGAACCCTGAGAGCAGCTCTCCTGACTATCGCAATAGTGCTGTCACCACTTCTCTACTTCTAGAAATTCCGTCCCTCATCTCATTTCTGCACAGCTCAGAGAAGTGCACATAATTACATCTTTTGTAACTAAGTATGGCCAAGTTTATCTGGTCAGCAATGGGACTTTTTAAAAATCTCCTTAAGAGGGGCTGGGGATTTAGCTCAGCGGCAAAAGCGCCTGCCTGGCAAGCGCAAGGTCGTGAGTTCGGTTCCCGGTACCGGAGAAAAACCAAAAAAAAAAAAAAAAAATCTCCTTAAGAAACACATAAACAAACTGCATGAAGAAAGATCTGTTGTTTGGTAGCATTTTAAAACTTGGTTTTGTAAGGGTATATTTAAAATATGAATCTTTTGATGTAAAAATTAGGTTAATAATTTGGTCTTTCCAAAAGAGAATAATAAACATATGGAAAACATTATGAGGAAAGGCACATTAGCTAAAAGTCTATTAAGCAGAAGGGAAAAAAGGCACAGAGTATTTCTTCATGAGAAATCTAAATATTGCTTGTTCTGTTTTGTCTCTCTGCTACCAATTAACGTGGGGCTGTTATTTGAGGTATTGGATCTCACTGGCTTTATTCTGCTTTTACCAAATTATGAAGACTCAAATCATTTTAGTGGAGGAAAAGGAGCAATTGTCTGGTATTAAGCAGATTAAATAATTTGTTAGCTGGTGTTTTCCTTAGGTACTTGGGGAGTATGCAGGCAAGTGAAACCCAAATTTTACATTAAAAAACCCAGACAAGTATATTTGGCCACATGAGTTTCTTCCGTTACCAAAATGTTCTACCTTTTGTCACCTCATTTTCTTGCTCTTTTGCTTCTGAGTGGTTAAAAATATCCTGCACTTAAATCTACACTCTCAAAATAAAATATCTATATTAAAATAATATCTGGTAATTATGGATTCTGGACTTCCATGCAGCCATCTCTAATCCTGTAGGGCATATGTTTAAGCAATAAAAAATACAATAAAACCTGGGAACCCAAGAAAGATCTTCTACTGCAGGATTAGCGTGTGCTTTCCAGTGTGGATGTTCCATTTATAACACTCATTTGTTTCCTACCATGGAAGCCAAGTTTCCACTTATTACATGTCTCCTTGCCTTAATATTAACTTCCAGTTTGGAGCTCTGCAAGCTCTGTCTCCACCCCTAAATTAAAGTAAATGATATCCACTTCACTCCACGACCAATTTTACTAGAAGCCACTTCAAAGACTCCACTTTAAAAAATGAAGAATGACCATTGCTTCCCGAAGCCAAGGTCGGCCTTGCTCATAACAAAGCTGGACTTCTCCTAGATTTCCCCTCTGCAGAAACACAAAAGGGTTTTTTCCAAAACTTTTTTCTCCTCCCCTAAAGTTAAAACTGCTTGTTTTGTTGTGACTTCTGCTATTATTAAGGAGGAGACAGGGGTAGACAGGAGAAGACGGGTCCACAGGAGGAGACAGGGGTCCACAGGAGCATAGAGCTCTGGCGGGCCCCCTCCCTCGGGGCTGCTTGGGACACATACATGTGTACTTGCTGTGACATTGCAGACCACATCCTGCTATCCTTAATTAACTCCTTCATGAGCGTAAAATTCCAGAACAGTTAAAGTTTCTCTCAGTTACAGAAGTCTCAAGAACATAGTAATGGCTGTTTCTTTCCCAGGACGTCCACTTTGTATCAAGCTATATGAGGGTAAATGGCAGTGTCACAAACACCACAACTTTTCCCCTTCCTCTTCCCTTGCTCATGTCTGCTGCTTGACCATCTTGTCAGCCACTCACTCCAGTGGCCTCTCCGGATTCCGCTCCTTCACTTACCGTGTAGACTGCCTCGCTTTCCGAGGAGAGCCCCGCCTGCCGCAGACATACGCAGCTCCTGTACACAGAGGTCACCACCAAACACACAGCCACAGATGCGCTCTTGTAACCTACACGCATGTGTGCGCACACTCCAAACTGACTCACGGTGAAAGTCCCCTCCTTCACAAAGACATTCTTGTCACCGGGGAAGCTACTGGCCCTCAGTTCTCTGAAAATAATTTATCTGCTCAGTCTTTCCAATGCTGCAGTGCAATGTGAGTTCGAACTCTAAACCCACACGAGGGCCTATAAAAAGTTATGAAGTATAAAAGCGCTTCTTCTCCGCTCACAGACAAGGCCGTGAGAAATGAAAGCACTTTCCTTCTCCCATGGTGGAGAGGATTTCTCCCGGGTCATCCTTTGACTGAGGGTGTGGTCATTCGGGGAGTCCCAGCCTCACAGGTCTCCTCTATCTTACTTGGGCCCAAGTTGCTTCCTGTCCTCTGGGTGGCTGCCTTATGCTGCCCACGTAGTCCTGATCTCCCTGTGAGGAAATGAATGCCGTTCACCTCGCCAGCAAGTTTTGAAGATTTAATTTTTCCTCTGAGCATGTTAGTCTCCTGTCAGTTCCTAGGGCACGATCCTCTCATCCCCAGAGCTTTTGCCCCAAATGGTGTTGCATCAGCTTGCAACATTCCACAAGTAGACACATGCGCATGATCCTGTCTTATTTTTAGATTTTATCTGCATTCAAGCATTGCTTAGCAATGGGTGTGTGTTTTGGGAAGTCCACTGTTATGGATTCAGACATCATCAGGACAGCGCTAATGCACTTGCACGGCCCTACTTGCAGAGGTCGGTCACTCCACAAAGCTTCTCAATGCAACCAAGAGACTTAGTGAAGAGGAGAAAAGTAAGGCAGCTGCCGGTAGAACAAGACACACCGTGGTTCAATGCTTTTTAATAACAGGAAGAAGATAGTCTAATGTAATACTAGAGCTGAGTGTGTGCTCCCATGATAGGACGCCTACCTAGCACACAGAGCTCTGAGCTCCATCCCTGGCACCACCAAACAAAACAAGTGAAAGTGCAATACAGTCCACCTATAATTCCGGAGGCACTTACTGACTGCCGTGCACACTGTGCTGCATGTTGTTGCATGTGCTACACTTTCACAGGACTGGCTACATGACGGGTTTGTCTGCAGCAGGAACACAAACAGAGATTGCACTGGGACGTTAGAGCAGCACGTGCAGCACTAGAGGAGCCCAATTCTCTGCTCCGCGGTGATCTTGTGAGCTTACTGTTGTACCTGCAGAGCATCAGTGAGTGAAACACCAAGCCGCAGCCTAAGTCTGCACTTCCTCAGGTGCGCCTGCCTCACCATTAAAGTCCCGTGAGGTTCCAGCATTACTTTATACACAACCACTGTCAAGAAGCACATGGACCCAGAAAAACTGTAGCTCTCCAGATTTTATCCCTGAGAAGTTAACTATGTCCATTAAATAGCAAGTGTGCTACAAAACTAAAATACTACTCAAAATTTTTAAACTATATGAGCTTCCTCCATACAAAGAATAAGGTTGGGGGAGGATGGGGAACAGCCCACGGCCACTTCAGGAACCTGCTCAGGAATACTTCATAATTTACAATTGCATTTCATACTCCTGAAGAGAAACCTGTCCTCTATGTTTTTAGAAACTAGAATACCTCAGAAAGGAACATTGTAAAACTTCTCGTGCTCAAAAAAGCATGTGATAACATCCTCTCCTCTCTTGGATTCAAAGGAATATCCCCAGCTAGCTTTAAGAGGCTATGCAAGGATTTGTGCACATATGTTACAAAGTCAAAATAAGCCCCGCAGAGCTCAATCTTCCCATGTTTTCTGGCATCTGCCAAGCAACTCTGTACTACAGAGCTATGACACCGACTTACAGCCTCACCCAAAGGCCTTCTGACAGTCTTATCTTTAGTTGTCAGCACCTTGGGTTCCAAAGATATCACAAGTCTATTTTTAACTGAGTTTTAATTTTCAAAGAACACATAAAATGCTACTTATAACTATTCATTTATATAAATTCATTTGAAATCACAATTTAGTAAGTAATTCTGAACCTTCTAATGGTCTAAATCTCATTTATCATATAATGGAACATATTTGATTATGAATTGTGTTTATAACATCAAAACAAAAATTCCAGTTTGCCAAAAATTGGATTGAAGCTGCCAACATGCGGAAAACATTTTACAGCAAATATCCTCTATTTTGTCTCCATGTATAACTGCCACAGAGCATGAACTTAACAAAAGCACCATTCCTGCTACAGTAACAACAATGTACTCCACTGTTCTCACTCCGCAAAATTCCGCCCTATTTCAGTCTATTAAATCTTGTTTGAGACCATGGGGGTTGAACCATAGCTCTACCAGGATTAATACTTTGACATTAACAGAATTATAGTTTTTATTAAGTCAAATTAACACTAATAAGAGACTTCTGTTATCTTAAAGACGTGAAGAATTTGTAAATAAACTTCCTGAATGCCTGAAATCTAATATCATATTGATAACATTTTAATAGATAACATTTCATCAATATTGTCCTACTGAAGTTCTCAACATGTTTATAGGCTACATAAGGATACACAGCACACAAAGAACACGGAGTACCTGCAGGGCTGTGAGGATGTTTGCCAGGGCTTGTCCGTACGTGTCGTGACAGTGAACCGCAAGTGCAGCTGGCGGGATTTCTTTCATGACACTCTCCAGCATCCTCTTCATGCTTCCCGGAGTGCCCACTCCGGTCGTGTCTCCCAGGGCGATCTCATAGCAGCCCATACCGTACAGTCTCTTAGACACCTGCTGAGGAAGGCGAGGCGCTAGTGAAACAGTGGGCGTGAGTACACTCAGGCCCTCCTGTTCCTCAGCAAATGCCATCTAGAGGTAAAAACCACAACCAAATAAAGCTTATGAATGGAAAACATAGACTCGTTTTCTAGTTCTTTCCCGCAGTCATTAAATCCTAAGCTTATATAAAATGTAGAACAAAAACACTCACCCTAAATACTCAAGTTTGCCTCAGAGTTACATCTATTTGATGTCTATCCATGCACTGCGAAATTGGAAGCTGTGTTCAGAGATGGGTGGCTTGCCTCTCCCAACACTCTAATCAAACAAAAGCATTACAGATTTACTGCGGAAGTGTTACATCTCTAGGCACTGGCTCAGAGGTTGAGCAATATCAGCAGTAGTTTCAGCTCTACCACTAAAGCTTTTGCAATTGGCAGAGTCCATTGACATTCCTGGCCCAGTTTTCCTGGCTCATTAATGGATGCACTTATGCAAGGTAAACTGCAAGTTCTCTTTAAGTCTGATGACAAACGTGCATGAGGGCTATGGGATATCCTGACGATCAAAAGCAGCCTAGACTCGGCTCCTGTCTATACCAGTCATGAGATACTGGGGGAAGGTCACTATATAAGTGTCTACAGAACATAGGCAGTGAACTATCCTTGCTTGGCATGTTTTCTGAGGTTTAATAACTTCATTTTTAAAAGAATGATAATCAAAAACAATGTTAATGACATGCTTAGTTGTGTATTTGAAAGCAGAATGTCTAAAAGTCACTGCACCCAAAATCTGGCACTCGTTCATTCATTGACGTAATGCACACTTCTCCAGTGCTCCTATTTTACACCAGGCACCGTGCTAGGTGCTGAGATGTAATACAAAATCAAATATGGACACCTTACAAGCTGCTACAGACTGGAGTCAAATGAGGAAGATTTTAGTCAGTCCCACTGAGAAATACACGAATGAGAATTCTGAAATGAGGAAACAGGATTCTATGAGCACATGGCAGTGGAAATTGAGCTGGATCTGTCAAACAGCAAGAGTTAAAGTGACAACTTGAGATTACAGAGAACTTGCTGAGAATGAGAAGGAAGGGTCTGAGAGGTGTTCTGTAAAGAGTATCATGGACAAAGCTTACCAGGCTTCAGGCGGCTGAACTAGGAAATGCAAAGAGAAGGGAAAACTCAGATGAGAAGGGCAGTGTGATAAGAAAGCAAAAACCACTGGGGAGAAAATAAGAGAGAAGGCCAAAGGTTTGAGAACAGCAATCACAGCCTGACTGAAGCAGTCACTTCAGAAAAGCAAGGTAATTCACCGCAGAATCTGCTAGAAGAGCACAAAGGGCCCGCTGACGGCGGCTGAAGGTCGTGTTCCTAAGGCGTCCGATTGGCATGTTGGGAACGGGGTGTGTAGGCGAGCCAGGGTGGAACAGGTGCATGGGCAGAAGAACCCGGAACTCAGGGTTGGGCAGAGGTGGGCTCCGCTTGTGTGGGGCCTGACTTCACACACTTTGTAGACGTTCTTTAAGAGAAGAATGTAGGATTGTGGATTCCAGTAAATGACAAGAGTCTTCGAGGAGGCCCATGCAAGGAAAGCTCTAGCCAGGCTACGCTTTACTGCTGCACAACACATCTCACTGTGTGCAAGGGCACTGCGGAAGGGAGAGAGGATGACCTAGTACTCGGGAAAACTCCGCAGTAAGTTTCCAAAGCATAAACAAATGCACAAGCAGGGATGGCTTCGGTTGAATTCAAAGTTTAGGGTTAACCCTCACCCTAAGCCTAACCCTTTCATGTAGCTGCCCCTCAGTGAGTGACTGTTTCCCTTTCCACCCAAGGTCCCCGCAGCTTGTAGCACATGGTTAGTCCTCACCCTGGGTGCTTGCGGAACAGTTCTTGCTCTGCGCCTTCACACTCGGGCGTAGATCAGAGTCCGCACTGTGAAGAAGTACAGCAAGGACGGCGCCCCAGCACCCAAGGCAAAGTCTGCGTGTGTGCAACAAGCTGCGGGCACGTCGCACGGAAAGCGAACTCCCTGTGTTGTAACACTTTTAACTCACTGTGCTACAGCCGCATAGAACAGGGCCTCCATTCCTTCCAGAGCGTAAGAGCCGCAGTGGAAAGACTCAACTGTTACTCCGAAAATTTATAGGTGATGCAGAAGAGACTGGTGCCAAATGAAGCAATTAGTTAAAGGGACAAGCTTGTCTTTGGGTGTAGTTTCCCACTCCATGGCTTTCTTTAGTCTGCTACGCAGAACCGAGAAACAGCAAGAAAAGCACTTTTAAAAATAACATGCATTATTTTACCGTTAACCACAAAGGCTGAAGATGTATCTTACTTCTGTCACTTTTTGCGGCATAATGCTTCCCTCGTATGGACAGCCCAGCGCACAAGACACATACCTAAATTTAAAATACAGAGCTATATAAATGCATGTCTGGTAGACGAATCACTCTTAATTTCCATTTTATGAAAATAAAGAAATAAAGTACTGCAAGAAATTTATTTTACACTGCTATAATTATTCATTACTATTTATCGTCAGACAAAACAAAAACAGTTTAGGTGCATTAGGTGCATTTGAATTAATTTATATTTCTGTCTTCCTAATAACTACAATTTGATAATATGTTCTTTGATGGCAAATGGAGACAAAGTAAAAGGTGTTTTCCTTGTGAGGTTGTTTACCCTATGGAAACATGCCAACATTCATATAGTTTTATTTAAATAATTCTATACATTCAACTGTTAAATGTAAAAGTCTTCAGGATTATACATAAAACCATATAAAAACTAGCTCAGTTTCTCTGTGTCTCCATCTGGATGCTTTAATCTCATCTAGATACAGTCATTAATCACCCACAACTCCTAGAAATAAGCATAGCTTCAGAGTCACCCTGTTTCCCTCTCAAGGGTTTACTTAAATCATTCCAAACGGAAGAGTGTCTAATGCATTGTAAAGGTTCCAAATAAAGACACTCTAGGCTTCTTCAGTAGCTCACGCTCATATAGAAAGGCTAACCTTTTCTGCAGAGACAATGACTCCTTTCCATTTTAAGCTGTTAAGCTTTAGGACCAGCCTGTTTTAGCTATTTTCAGTTCATCACCAATTCCATTTCATTGCACTTGCTCAAGGCTTTTACAATACCAGTACTGAAATAATGCATCTGGTGGTCAGGAGCGAAGCCAGCCGCAGGAGGGCAGGAGGGGCGGTGGGGAAGGAGGCTGGAGACTCAGTTTTTTGGGCCTGGATAGAGACAGTTCTGCACAACAAGGGCCCTTGCGTGCCATGCCACCTGGGCTGCACTGTGAGATGCCTCAAAACTACTCTGCTCAGAATCCATGGACACCTTCTGCCTTGGACAGGAGGGCAGGAAGTGCGAACAGTGCGGTTTGACTTGGACGACTTGACAGACTCAGGAAGCAGGCTGCAGGCTTTCAATCACTGTGCGGAACTAAGGTTACTTAGGACCATGTTGAGGAAAGGGGCAGTGCCCTTACTTCACGAGCTTAGGAAGTCTGCTTTTCCAAAGCTAAGTCAAGGTAGAGCTGCACAGCAGTTAGAGCGTAATGAAGCACAGGGAACTTCCTACATCGAAGGCCTTTCACAAAAGAAACTGCTCACTAAGTGTGGGATGCAAGCTCTTGGAAAGTTTAGAATCAGACTGATTTTTTAAATGATTGCAGGTGACAATAGATAAAGCTGTGGATAAAATGAGCACTCTGGGTTCATTAAAGGTGTCAGGAAATTGCACTGTCCTCTCCTTTTAAATATGCAAATTAGTCTTTATAAACAAGTTATGACTAGAGTAAAATATTATTATATGTTATAATGTTTTTCCGAAAGAAATCTGTGATCATCTATAGTAGCTTAATCATTAATCTGCACTTGCTCCTTGTTCTCATTACAGTCTTTCCCATTTTCACTTTTTCTGGAAACTCGAGAAGAGGTGCGCCGGGTGTGGTGACACATGCCTGTAATCCTAGCACTCGGGAGGCTGAGGCAGAAGGATCATTGAGACCAGCCTGGCCTACAAAGTGAGCTCAAGGCCAGCCTGAACTGCATAGTGGGACCCTGTCTCAAAAAGACCAAAAGAAAAAGAGGTGCAACAGATACAACTGGAAGGTACCACTGTCGCATTTTATACCTTTTAAACAATGAATGGTTTTTTTTTGCTCAAAGGATGAATGGGAAAATCAGTTCACTGAGCTTTCCTTAGAATCTGACTCTCACAAAGTAATCATTACTCATGAACAGGTCACTCAAATCACGATCAAAGAGCTATTTTATAGGACAGTTTGCATGGTTTATGCTTTCACAGATACAGCTGCTCACTTTTTGATTTTAGAATTTGCTGTATAAGAATTTAAACAGTGAGGCTGCGGCACCTCAGTGATCATTTCCTTCTTAAGTTAATACTCTCACAAAGAAAGTGAGTGTACTGTTCGTGTGACTCGATCACAGAGAAGCTGACATTTACTTTAGACAAAAACCAGTAAATCCTAAATCTCTTATAGGGTATAGTAGAGCACTATGTTGCACCTTAAGACACTATAATTTAAGAAGGTCCTGACAAACCACCAGTCATTTCTTTCAATATTTGCCCTTTATGGAAAAGGAGAGAAAATAATTTACCACAGGCTTTTTTCTTTGTTTTCTTAATGGTTTTTAAATTTAGAAAAAATAAAATAACTTAGGCTTTTACAAATATATGACAAATGACTCACGTATTAGAAAATTAAGTGCAATATATGTGTATTTCATCACTCATGCACACATGCATGTGCAGAGCTGTTAGCTGACTGCATTGCTTGTCACTGATGTGGCATGGTATCTCTTCAGGTTGTGTGTCAGATGTTATATAGAAAGTTTTAAACGTGTACAACAACATGTACATCTGTATGTAACAGATGTGTTTTGAGGAACAATTGAGCAACAGCCTTCATAACTCTAAAGAAAAGTTAGTCCATATAGAAGTTATTATTTTTATAAAAATTTAAATGCTTTTAATGAGCATATTTAAAATGTGCACTGCATTATGCTTTTTAAATCTGACAGCGGATGACTTAAATTTTCTGGACGATGCTGTGTATGGTGCACGCCTGCACTTTTGTACACACCGAAGCTTTGTGCTCCGGCTCTTCCCGAAGTGGATGCCAAGGGCTTCAGATCAGTAACAGGGACTACCAATCTCTAGCTTTCTTGGAAAAGTAAAATCTCATTGAAACTCTACAAAACTGAGCTAGGATGAACATGCTGTAATTTCAGGTGCACAAACAGCGGATGCACTCACATACTGAGCTGTTACACTTCTTAAAATGAGCACCATTCCAGAAAATCCAGACACTCATTCCCAATGCAGCAAAGTCTGTATGAGAATCATATTTGTGTGCAGTTTAATTCTATAGTATGTTTTACTGATTTGATTTTGTAGCTTTCATATTAAAGCCTGAGAAAGAAACGTTTCTTTAATGACAGAGTAATATTAATTGTCAGTGAATTTGAAGAGAATTTCAGATTTTGATTTGCTGAACTTCATGTATGACTTTTCCTAAGAGAAAGTTAAGATAATAAGAACTAACTTTATACAATTTATATTTTCCTCTGTCTTTCACCATTAGAAAATCCACATAAACATTCTGTTATGTTCTATCAAACTTTCCTAGGAGTTCTATTTTACTGAAGTTTAGACTCCAATTTTAAATGCATTCTGAAATAAAATAGGCTTTTCATTTTTTTCTTTTTGCTTTAAAAGGTAAGAGAGGCAAAGCAAATTACTTACATTTGAATTTAGAAACGTAGAGTATATCTCCTTTTTGATTGTGATTATGTATATTTTACCTTAAAAATAAACATCATTTATTTTGTGCTTATCAAAATACATTATCTCAGCTTTTAAACTTCCCTTGAAAGTTCCCCTTGATATTTATCTATTTTAATTACAAAAGTGATTTCATAACTTTCATAACTCATTTTGAAGACTTACTATGGGGACAGGGGAAAGGGAGTTAACAAGAAATCAAAGCAATGCTGTAGTTAGCTATAGTAGTCTAACTCTTCTTGTTCTCCACATGACCTTGACTCAGCGCCAGTGCTTTTCTAATATTTTCACTCAAGGCTGATTTACTTGTCTTTCTAATTAACTACCACTCCTCCCACTATGAACTTGGCTCACCTCAACCAAAGAAGGTAGTAGGGAGGTCTAAATCAATTTCAGCACTCAGCTTTCTCTCACAAATCCTATGTACTCACTTAAGATAACATGGCATGTCTGTCCTATCTGCATATTTATAAAATAATAGTCAGTTAATGCCCCCCTTCCTTCAGTAGCAAAGAATGCACAGGCCACAGCCAAAAGGCCTGGTCCCAGCTCATGCCGAGCAGTTGGTCCAGGAAGCAGGCATGAACCAGGCAGCTTTTCCTCTCTTCTCCCTCCACATCTCACATTGCTTCCAAGTGCTTCCTTCTTTCTCAGCGTCCACCTTTTGATACTCTCTTATCATTGATTTGTAGGTGGCTTCATCTTAGGACCCCTCAAATACTGAAATCAATCTTGAAATTATAGAATCTGTCAAACTGCGTGACTGTGACTTGTATTCTATTTCTAAAATCCTGAGAGGAAAAACCAGGCTGTGAAGTTTGCATCAGGTTTCCGCATCTGGCCTATAACCAGGATGTCGTGGAGTGGAAAGCAGATGGCTCAGATTCTGAGAAACACAGCTCCTCCAGGAAGTCCAAGGAAGGAGAACAAAGCCAGTGTCTTGGATACACCTGAACTTACAGAAATACACGGCACATGACAGAACTTTGAACTGATTGAGCCGAACTTGTTAGCCCTTGATTTCTGTACACAGCTTCCTGGGACTTTCTACACCACGCACTCTGAGTTGCTGCAGGGGTGCCCTGGCCCACAGGGGAGGGGAGTCAGCCCTGAGTGGGCGACTGGGTGCAAAGTTGGGCCCTGCTTCCCAGAGAAGTTCAAAGGCTCAAGGTTCCACTCAGCAGAATCTGTGAAAGTTCTACAGAAAGATTTTCTTTAAAGAAAGTAGTACTTTTTAAAAAATATTTTTAAAAATAGATTTGTAAATCACATGAGATTATGCCTTTCTAAAAATTATTATGACTTTTTAAGATCAATTTATCAATGCACACAAGGCATCAAATGGTATTAATGAAATAGTTACTCCCAGACTTGCGTAATAACCCCTTGGATCTCAATCCTATGATACAATCCCAGGCTAATAATTATTAGTAACATTAAGGAGACATCACTAGTTGAGGTGTGATAAAAATATACGGTGAATATTTAACTTTTAAAAATTTTATTCAAGACACATTGCCATCAGCCCCTCTTAAAGTACTTCTCACTTGAAGCACACTTGTCCTGTCGTTCTCCCCACTTTCTGAAGCAGTTCTGGGAGTCCCTTGCATGACTTTAGTTGTGCAGTGGCTGCTGCTGCAAAGTCCTGAATCTGCACTGATTCAGAATATTTACCTTTCACGGTCATTTGGGCAGCAGTCAGAAGTCATACAGTGGCAGACCAGTGAACAAGGTGGATGAAGACACACTGACATGTTTTGTTTGAGAGATGCTGTCACATGAGGAGTGATGTGTGACACATCATGGGGAAAGATGGAGTCATCTGCCTGTTCTTCGAGGCATTTTCTATGCACATGACTTCCTAAATGTCTAACAGCCCTGGATACGAACAGCCAGCACAATCCCATTAAGGTCAAAACCACATCACCCTGACACTGGATCTCAACTGATGCACTTTTTTTACAGGAGGAGAACTGGGTAATTTTCATCGAGAGCTCTGAAACTAGGTCTTGGGATCATAACTGTGGTCCCCAGGATCATCTCCAGAATAACATTTCTTAAAAAGCTGTAATCTGCAGAAGCAGGGTCACACGACTCCAGTGAAATATGCTGTTCTCAATCTGTGATTTATGACATACTTTAAAACACACCTTCTTTTTACTGTATCTCACAACTGGCTGGATCAGTTGCAACTTATCACACACCATTACTAAGGTTTGAACTTGTCCTATTGAAGACTTCTTTCAAATGAATGGCTGTAGGCATGTGTAGTCACTGTACTTTTGGTCACACCTCATAGAGTAATTTCCCTTATTAAATAAGGTACAAATGAGAAGCTGTATGTGTATTTTTTAAGAATGGTAGAAGGAACAATGAGCTTTCATAAGTAAGCTTTAACAGCAAGTGTTAACAAAAGAGAACTGTGGGATTTCTGCAGTACCCGCGTGCTGGAATATTCATTTGGCTTGCAGACTTAATGACCTCTTCAAATTTTCTCATGCTTTCTTCAATAGAGCAGTTAATATTCATCTTGCTAAAGGATTCAGATGCAGCACCAAACACTGATATCTCAGTGGCTCCAGCAGCAACCTGAAAGGTACGATTTAAAACCAAAGGCTAAAACTTTTAAGAGTAAATTACACGAAAGCATTACTCTACAAAAGGCATGCTTATGTTCATTAGCATTTCCCCAGTTTTTCTGGACAGGGTCTCATCAGATCGGGCTGACCTTGAACTCACTATGCAGCCCAGGCAGGCCTTGGACTCACAGCGATCCTCCTGTGCTGGCCTGCTAAGTGCTGGGATTACAGGTGTGCTCCACCACACCTGGCCACATCTGTCTAAAATTTTAAAATTATAACCTTCTCATTCTGTCACATAAACACTTTCAAAATGGAAAAAAATTGTGTAATAGAATAATTCCACGATCTGTAGCATTCATCAATCATTGGAGGCACAGACTATACAGTGATAATGCTTCGATTTATTTTGACTTCTAACTTGTTACCATCACAAATATTTTAACTAATTATAGAAAATACTTGCATCCCAATAAAGCCTCTATTTTCATAGCAAACATTGTTTTCAAACCATTTATTAAAATAGAGGTTAGTAAATGCTTTGTTTTTCTTCTCTTCCCATGATCCAACAGAAAAATGTTTTTCTGATTCATCATTTAGATTTTGCTCAAGTTTCCTCCCCTCTCTGTACCCAGCTTGTACTGCTTCATGGCCTAGCAGCTTCAGCCATACTCTTGTGTGCCTAAGTCTCTCACACTCCTGCCCATCTTTAAATCCAAAATGCCAATCTAATTGATTTTCCAGTTCACCCCCTTTCTCTCCCTCATGCTTGTCCAGTGACTTGTTTTTAAAGGCCAAACCTCCTGGACTTTCAGCTGGAGTTTTAAAATCTGTTACTATATCACTAGCACCCTGTCTGGGTTTCCCAGATCCCTGTCAGTTACTTGCTCCAATAATATAAGAAAAACTTATTCTGTCATCTTTCTTCCAATATTTAAAAACAATATTGGTTTCTATGTCTCTATCCAAAGTAAATTTTGCACCTTGAAAATAAAATTCTGTTTATTCTACTAATTTTCAGTACATTAGTAGTATTTTACATGTCCTTTTATAATCCACAAACAACCTTAAAACTAAGTTCCATGACACCATTGTACAGATGATCCTATCATAGCACTAGTAAGCTAATTAGCTTGAACATTTTTACACAATTAGTGTAACATATGGAGCTGTGTTTTAAGCCAACGTTTGCTCCACTCTACTGCTTGCCCCTGTAAACTATCATGCAGATGTCCTCTTGGTATCTTTGTAAAGGTGCAGACATCTTCTACTGTGTTACAACTGGATAACAGCAATAGTTGCACATCCTTAAAATCCCTCTTTCTTTGTAATACAACAAAATTACTGTCTCAGTTACTTTTCTCTCAATGCCGAGACAAAATACCTGACACCCAAATTAAGGAAGGAAAGGTTTATTTAGCTCACAGTCTGTGGAGATTTCTGTCCATACTTGGCTGGCTCCAAGGCAGAGTGGCCCATGGCACAGGACAAAAGTTCATGGCAGTGAAGACAGCAAAAGCAACCAGTGCAAAAGGGAGAAATTGTGGCAAGCAGCCTCTTTCCCTCCCTTACATATGCAAACTATCTGCCCCAGGGCAGTGCAGCACTCACATCCATGAATCAAAACTCTAAAAGCCCACCCCATGAACACATGTGGCTTTGGGGAGACACCCAGACACAAACCATAATAATTACACTAGATCAAACAGAAGTAAGTTTTTCTAATAACATATACACTAATAAATAATCCAAATAGCACCCCACATTATCAACTTTATGTAATAAATTAATAGAGAAGTGAAAAATACTAATGCTAGACATAACTACTACAAAACCTTTGCCATAAACTTATGTAAGCATAATGCTGTAAGATTTTACTTAAGATTTTATCATTTTTCCTGCAGTGTAATCATTAAAGCTTTTATTTATAGCATACAAATTTTTAAATCATACAATATCAGAAGAAAGAAACTAGGACTTGAAATATTTCACTCTAAGCTCTTCTTGATGATGGTTTGTGTTGAGAAGTCTCCCATGATTCTGATGGGTTTTTCTTTATAAGTGATCTGGTTTTTTTCTCTAAAAACAGTTCTGGAGGTCTAAGATTGGATTTTGCTCCTTATTCTTGTCATTTTCTTTGTTTTGTTTTGTTTTGTTTTGTTTTTTTCCCCCGTACCGGGAATCGAACTCATGACCCTGCATTAATAGGCAGGTGCTGTGCCGCTGAGCTAAATCCCCAGCCCCTTCTTGTCATTTTCTATTTCAAAAAAATTTTTATTTTGTTTTCTGCGATGACCTTTCAGAGTTTTGGTAGTAGGTAGCTATATCACTAGAATCAAAGCCTCTCCAGGAGTAGTCTGAACTTCAGGGATATCTTCTATGTGTAGCAGATTCTTGGTTTCTGTCTGTCCCAAGAACCTATTTTCCCAATTAACTGAGAGTGAGATGTTGGTTTCTATTTGGCTCAGTCCTCAGTCTTTTGGTGTAAGTCTATGGTGAGATTATTACCCCAGAGCTTCCCAATACTGTTATACAAGGAGAACAATTGATTACAGCAGATGTGACATCCTAGCTACAGTAGTACAATTAGCAATAATGATAGCATCAAGCACAATTTAGAAATTAAGAAACTGTGGTAATTATTGATTCTGTACTTTAGACCATAGAAGCAAAGTCTGCGGTTATATAATAGAACCAATTGTAAGTTAGCGATTTGTATGCAAAGTGCTTCCCCTTGTTAGAGTGGATTTACCCTGAGGTGTGGAAATTTAGGGAGGATAGTGTGTAAGAAAAAGATAACTGGAAAGGAAGTAGAAGCAAGGCTGGAAGACAAAGGGTGGTCACTGAAGGTTTTGAAAACTAGAGAAGGGGATACAAAAGAAAGAATGAAGGAGTATTTGAGGGATTCTCTGAACTTGGTCTCTGAGTTTGGAGGATGGGATTACAACAAGAAAAAGAAAAAAAGAAAAGGAAAAGAAAGTAAGATAAAAACAAAGATAAAGCAGTATAAAATAAAATTATATTTAAATGGGGGGGCAGTTCCTCCCACTGGTTTCTGTCCCATGTGTTTCTGTCTCTAAGCACAACACTGGTTCACCTAATGTACCACACATCAGCTTGTATTTCGTGCTTTTCCCTCCCGCGAGCCTCAAGTGTCCATCATGTGCATCCTAGTCCGGGTCCTACCACGTGGCTGTCACACCCCAGTGACCTGGTCCCGAGGTGAAGGGCAATGGGCCAGTCACCTGGGTTCCTCTGGGCAAGTCAGTTGCCAGGTCCTGGGCACTTTCTGTGCTGGCTGCCTGTCCCACAGTGTTTACCTCAACCTGATCAAAGCCATCTATGACAAACCAAAGTCAACATCATACTAAATGGACAAAAACTGAAAGTTTTCAGTCTAAAATCAGGAACAAGACAAGGATGTCCACTGTCACCAATACTATTCAGTATAGTTCTGTAAATAGTAGCCAGAGCAATTAGACAAGAAAGAGAAATAAAAGCAATAAGGACAGGAAAGGAAGAAAGGAAATTATCATTATTCACAGATGACAAGATATTCCACATAGAAGACCCCAAAAACTACACCAAGAGATTTCTAGATTTAATAATTGTGCAACTGGCAGTCAACTTGTAACAGCCAGCTGAACTGAAGGAGCACGGTGCTGGGTGTGTGAGGCCCATCTGAGGATTGTTGTTGGCAGCATAAGAAGCAAAACTGGAGAGAAAGAAGTTTAGAGGCTACAGGAAGTTATTGGGAGCTGTTGGTTCTCTTCGAGGAGCTGGTCATGCTGGCTTTCCAGATGAATTTAGTTGTTCTTATCACTGAAGGAGCTCAGGATATTACTGTTCCTGAGAATCGTTGTGGTTCTCTTTGAGGGAGGTCTGGTACTCACTTTGAGCATTGCTTCCTGGCTCTGGAGGGGAAGATGAACTACTGAGTCTCCTAGAGAAGCTTGTTGCACCCTTTTTACTGATGGGAACTCGGCTGTCCTCATTGTCAGAGGAGCTCTGGACCTCACTGTTGCTGAGCATGGCTGTGGTACTTTGAGGATCACTTCCTCACTCCAGTTCAGATCCCTCAGCCTGCTAGCACAGATCCTTCATTCCACTTGCACAGACTTTCTAGCTTTCACCACTGACCTTTGGGCCTTTCCATTGCAGATCGATGAAACAGGTCTGCATGAGACATTGTTATGGGCTGTAGGCCTGCAGCTGGACTCATGGAGGGCATTGTTATGGACTCTTGGTCACCAAATGGACTCATGTAGGACATTATCTTGGGATCCAGGCCCTTAGCTGGACTCTTTTGGTCTTTAGTATGTGGACAAATTTCCTGCACTCTGCGTAGGTGACTTTTAGGTGACTACTATAAAACAATCTTATAAAATATGTGCGCTGTATTGTATAGTTCCCCTTGCAAAACCCCAGACTACAACAATAATCAAATTCAGCAGCGTAACTGGATACAAAGTCAACACTCAAAAATCAATAGCATTCCTGTACACAAACAACAAACTCACTGAGAGAGAAATTAGGGATACCGCATCTTCACAATAGAATCCAAAAAATGGAATATTTAGGAATCAATCTAACAAAGAAAGTAAAAAATCTATATATTGAAAATTATAGTACTCTGAAAAAAAAGATCAAAGAAAATTTCAGAAAATGGAAAGATATTCCTTGCTCATGGATAGGAAGAATCAACATTGTGAAAACAGCCATATTCTCAAAACTGTTACACAGATTCAATGCAATCCCAATCAAAATTCCATTAACATATCTCACCTATGTACAGAAAATATTTCTAAAATTTGTCTGGAACCAGAAGAGACCTAGAATAGCAAAGGCAATCCTGAGCAACAAAGGCCAGGCAGGAGACATCACAGTCCTTGACTTAAAATTATACTACAGGGGCTGGGAATTTACCTCAGCGGTAAAGCGCCTGCCTGGCAAGCGCAAGGTCGTGAGTTCGGTTCCTGGTACCGGAGAAAAACCAAAAAAAAAAAAAAAAAAAAAAAAAAAAAATACTACAAAGCTACTGTGATGAAAACAGCATGGTACTAGCAAAAAAACAGACCTGAGGATCAATGGAACAAACTGGAAGATGCTCACACAATTACAAACACCCTCAGCCACCTGATCTATGACTAAGGGGCTAAACATGTTCACTGGAAGAAAGATAACCTCTTTAATAAATGGAGCTGGAAAAACTGGTTGTCTAAATGCCAAAAACTAAAACTAGACCCATGTCTATCACTGTTATAGCTAAGGATTGCAAGGGGAACACAATTAATACAGGACACATCACTTATACAATTATTTTATAACAGTCACCTTTGGTTGGAAAGGCCCAAAGGTTAGGGGTGGAAGCTGGAAAGTCTGTGCTAGTGGGATGAAGGATCTGTGTCAGCAGGCTGGGAGATATGCACTGGAGCCAGGAAGCAACACTCAAAGTAAGGACCAGAGCTCTGCCAAAAAGTACCACAGCCATTCTCAGCAACAACTAGGTCCTGAGCTCCTCCAAGGATGAGAACAGCCAAGTCTATATCAGGAAAGCCAGCATGACAAGCTTCTCTAAGAGACTGAGCAGTGCACCATCTTCCCCTAAGAGTGAAGAAGTAATGCTCAAAGTAAGGACCAGAGCTTCCCCAAAGTGAACCATAGCCATTCTCAGTGGCAACAAGATCCTGAGCTCCTTTGATGATGAGAACAGACACATTCATATCACAAAAGCCATTATGACAAGGTCTTCCAGGAGAAATAACAGCTCCCTAACAGCTTCTACAGCTCCCAACAACTTCTCTTCTTCTTCTTCTCCAGTTCTGCCTCTTATGCTGCCAGCAACAATCTTCAGATGGGCCTCCCACACCCAGCACCACACTGGTTCAGTTCAGCTGGGTGTTTCAAGTCAACCACCAGCTGTCAATCCACCACAATCACCATGCACTAAACTAAGGTCAAAATGGATCCACAACTTAAATAGTAAAACAAAAACACTAAATCTATTGGAAAAGAAAGTATGTAGAAATCTTGAAGACATAGAGGTAGGCAGAAAGTTCATGAACAAAAACCAAACTGCACAGGAAATACTTCAAAGAATCAACAACTTGGATGTCATCTTATTAAAAAGTTTTTGCACATCAAAAAAAATCATCAAGAGAGTGAAAAGAATATCCACAAATTGGGAAAAAAATTTAGCCAACTGTCTCTCAGACAAAGGACTTCAATCTAGAACATGTAAAAAAGTTTTTAAAAATCAGGCCTACAAAATTCAAAGACCCAATCCAAAAATGGGCATTTGAGATGAATACATACTTCTCAGATGAAGAAATACAAATAGCAAATAAATATATGAAAAAATATTCAACATCATTGGTCATTGGAGAACTGCCAATTAAAACAACACTGAGATTCCATCTCACTCCAGAAAAAATGGCTGTCATCAGAAAAATCAACCCATAACAAATGCTGGTGGGACTGTGGGGGAAAAAGAAACCCTTCTCCACTGCTGGTGGGAGTGTAAACTGGTGAAACCATTGTGGAAATCAGTGTGGAGATTCCTCACAAAACTTGGATTAGAAGTCCCATTCAACCCAGCTATTCCCCTTCTGGGTATTTTTCCAGAAGAATTGAAGACATCATACCACAACAATATATATGTGCACCCATGTTTGTAGCAGCACAATTTATAATAGTAAATCTCAGAAACAACCCAAATGCCCATCAACCAAGGAGTGGATAAAAAGATGTGGTATTTTTATACAATGGAGTACTACTCAGGTATAAAGAAAGATAAACTTGAAATTTTATAGGTAAATGGATGCAACCAGAGACCATACTCATAAGTGAAATAAACCAGACTTGCATGTATAACATCGTGTTGTGTCCCTAGTATAAGAAATTGCAAGAGAAAATAAGATATAAAAGGTACAAAACAAACTTCTCAAAATGAAAGAACAACTGGAATGCGGAAAAGGAGAAAAGTAAAAATGGAAAAAATATATATGTAAGGTAGCTAAGATAACTGTACTACTAATTTCTATTATTCATTGAAAGGAACAGTTAGTGCTAATATTGTTTGATCAATTTTGCATTCCTATATCTGGTAATCTGAGCAACTACTTTTAAGGTAACAATAAGCAATAAAATAACCCTTGTTAATTTCCTTAAGGAAAGAAGAAACTAGATGAGAGGTAGATATGATGATAAAAATTAGCTTCACCTAAAGGAAGGAAGAAAAACAAAAGGCTTGCAAAAAATTACAAAACTTTCTTTAAAATAGAGAGCTGTACTTTTATGTTTTGATCCTTGAACAGTCAAACTGGAAGAGTGATTTATGTGGTGTCTTTCAGTCCTCAGCAATCCTGTCGGGGACTCATCGCTGTGCATTCAGGTTGGTGTAATTACTGTAATATTTAGAGTATGATACACAAGTTGCATGTGATACCATTTTGACTTTCTAAGATCTTAAGACAATAAACTGCATACCAATTTTAGGGAAGCTAGGAGTACACTTACAGCATGGTGAAAACCCTGAAGATTCGGAGTAAGAACGGGGTATCGAATGCCAGGATACTGATGGATGCCTTTCATCACTTCTGCATGATCAGACATCTAAAATACACAATGTTACATAAGAATAGGTAACTGAATGCTCTGTTAAACATGCTATTTGATTTTAAGTTACATATGCAAATATATACTATAAATCAGTGTTTAAAATGACACAGCTATGCCAGTATGTCTTTAAAAATAGTTCCCAATGTCACAGGCCAATATGCTATGTATTTATTCTCCACATAAAAATTTTACACATACATCACTTTCAGTGTATCGCTTTATAGTGGTTAGTAAGAGATAAAGTACATATTTCCATTAGAATAATTAACAGTGCTGAGATCACCTGTTATTCGGATAGTGTGGTTGTTTCAGTTAGTAACCGATATAACACTTCACACAGTATGCTTAGGGTTACTGTCTGTTCTCATAAACGCAGAATTAAATATAGTAGACAAACTGCTTAGCACCAAAATTGATCTCACATTGTTAAAACTTTATTTTCAGAAACTATTTTCAAAAATCAACTTTGCATTAAAGTATCAAATTCATAGTCTGAAAATTATGTTTTTAAAGCAATAACTGAGAATCAGATCCCATAATTAGCACACAGAAAAACAACAACTGACATAAAATGATGCCAGCATATTTAAGAATAATAAATCATGGCATGCACAATATATACACATAAGGAATAATGTACAAATACACACAATGAGCATGGCAAAGGCTGTAAGCACACACCAAACCGAACTGGTAACTTGAATATGAGAACAAAAGACAGAGGCTGTTTTAGATACAGGTGTTATGGTTTGGGTGTAAAGTGTCCCCCACAGTCTGCTGTGCTGGGAAGGTGGGTGGACGTTGGGGTGCTGTACTCATCCACGGATTTACAGTGGGTGAGTCCGCAGTGGAAGACGCTCTAGGAGGTGGACCTGGGTGGAAGTGGTCCCCGGGGCCTGGCTGGAAGGTGTGCTCTTGCCCCGGCACACCCTTCCCCCTCTGTGTCCCGGCCACCATGTGTTGAGTGCCTGTTCTCCCCGAGGCCCCTCATCCATGATGTTTTTGCCTTGGATCAGCCGACCATGGACTGAAACCAGGCGCTCCCCACCCCAAGGTGGAGGCGTCAGGTATTTTGTTCCAGCAAAGGGAAAGTGACTGACACATTGGACTTGTTATAATGATAATGCACTATTTTCAACTTAAAAACGGTAAATTAACCAAAGTACTATAATAGTTTATATATATATATATATACACACATATATACATACACACACTTTTAAAATGTTACATTTCTGGGGCTGGGGATTTAGCTCAGCGGCAAAAGCGCCTGCCTGGCAAGCGCAAGGTCGTGAGTTTGGTTCCCGGTACCGGAGAAAAACACACACACACTAAAATAAAATAAAATAAAATAAAATGTTACATTTCTCTGGTCCATTGGTCTTTTCAACAATCAGTTAAAGGCCAGCAGACAAAAATTAATATTTTGAAGGAATATAATTTGGATTAATTAAATAAATTTAAAATACATTTTAAATTTAAAATTACATCTAAGATGCAAAACAATACCTCTGATAGCCATCATGCCTTATTGATTACTTCAATCCAAATGCAGTTATTTGTTCCTGTGATTCTTGCTCACTTGCAACGAAGGTAGTTTATCCACCCCCTCCCCACTGCCACCTCCTCTATAAGGAATCTGCCATAGTCACTTATGATGCCTAACAGCCAAGTCTTTCATCACTCTAGATTCATCTGACTTTAATCCCGATGCTGTTAATCATTTACTATATCCAAAGCCCCGTACTAGATCCTGTGGGAAATACAAAAGCCAATTGTATTTTCTGTAGGTCCACACACTGAAGTAATGTGTAGCACAACTGGCATACATGAAGAGTTAGTAACTCCAAGCATATATAGACCAGTGATGAGAGCACAAGACCATCAGTGTGCAGAGCAGGGAGAGGCTGATGTGACTTGCAGGTCTATAATGTTTAAAAGAGGATATATACTGTGGTCTGTGATTGTGGCGTAACACAGTTTTATTTTGAATGGCCACAGTGATATTTCCAGCCCCACACACTCTTTCAATTCTCACCTAGTGAATCAAGAAGTAGATTTAATGTAGCCTCCCCCATGAAGCTGGGTAGGCTGTAAATGTTCCAACCAGTACAGTACAGTGGAAATAATACTATGTGACTTCTGCAGTGAGATCACAGAAGGGAACATAACTTCCATGTGTCTTTCTCTGTGGGAAAAGGCACCTTGGAAAAATCAGCCAACATGCTACGAGAAAGTCCAAACTCGTCTGTACAGAGAGGTCTTATGAAGAGGCCCTAATGCACAGTCTCTGAGAAGGGGAACTGAGGCCCTCAGCCAACAGCTGCAGTCCGCCTGAATTTGTGACTGAAGCAGTTTGCAAGTTATATGACTGAGACCTCAGACACAGTGGACCAAAGACAAAAATCCTGGACTTGTTCAACTTCCTAACGCACAGAATTAGTGAGTATGAAAAATCTGCACTCACAATACTGAGTTCTCAGGGAATTCATTCAACAGCCAATAAAGCTGGGACACTGGGAGATGGATAGGACTGGAAGGGAAAGATGAGTGCAAAGTGGAAATATCTGGCTTGAGAAGATAGTACATTATAAATGAAGGTGGGACATCCACTGCATGCCATTGGTAAGGTTCTCCTTTTATCTAAATATCGCTAATTTGGCCTGAAGGTGGCAGAAAGGCAGAGAGCAGGATGAAATAGCAGAACTGAAGTAAGTGCAGTATTGTAGAAAGATTAACCTGAGAAGGTGCAAATGTCAGTCCAGGGAGAAGGGTGGCAGTTCTCAGGTAACGCTGAAATTCTGCTATAAAGCGGTACTGGGAAAAGAACTCTCAAGGAAAAGCGATTTGGACACAATGGCTGATACCACAAAGGAGACAGATGACTGTATCAAAAAGTGTAACCCTTACTGTCTCAGAGCCTTCTTAAAATATGTAATATTTGTACACTTTTCAACACAGTTCTTGATCATATATGCATGAATTTACCCTTTGTGTCTGATGCTATTGACAGTGTGTGCTTCCCGTCTCTCTCTCTGCCTCTTGCTCTGTCTCTCATAGAAATGAGTGTGCACATGGAAAAATGGTAAAAATATTAAAGCACTTCTTTCTAATTTCAAGCAGAAAGGAAAGCAATGATACCATGAGTTTTAGCATACTGCAAGGAAAAAAAGCAGTATTTTTCTACTAGAAAATGTTAATTGATAATCCTAATACCTAAAGTTAAACATGCTACCCTTAAATATTTATGGGAGGTCATGATATTACCATGACAATAGAAGTGAAAAGTGTGTTCCTAACCAAATACAGATTAGGATGGCAATATATCACAAACAGAACAAAGGGAAAAAACCTACAAAAATATAGGTGATTTTGGCATGGAAGGGGTTATTTCATTCTAAAATTCAATGAAAACTTTGAACCAAATTGAAGAAACTCATATAATGAAACAAACAATAATTTCTTTTAATAGAAGTTTTAATTAATAGAACGAGAAAAAAAGATAATTATAACCAAATTTCTGGGTTGCAAAAGCAGAATTTTAGTAATCATCGATGATACTTTAATTAAATTAAAATAATTAGTTAGGGGGCTGGGGATTTAGCTCAGTGGCAAAGCGCCTGCCTGGCAAGCGCAAGGTCGTGAGTTCGGTTCCTGGTACCGGAGAAAAACCAAAAAAAAAAAAAAAAAAAAAAAAAATTAAAATAATTAGTTAGAATCCAAAAATTTCATACTTTTTGCATTTTAAAAAATAGTCACAGGCCGGGGATATAGCTCAGTGGCATAAGTGCCTGCCTGGCAAGCACAAGGTGCTGAGTTTGATTCCTGGTACCAAAAAAAAAAAAAAAAAAAAAATAGTCACATATAATGAAACCACTTTGAAAATAGCATTTTTTCTTAATTTGCCTAAGAAAGGCATGTAAGTAAAGAGCTTTAAGACACTCTGATAGAACATAATCTTATTATAAGACATAAAATAAAGTATGTTACAATTAAATTTATTAAATGTATTAAATCCTTGCTTTAATTTTTTTTTCTTGAGGAAGTGTATGCTTTCCTTCAATCTTGATGTTATTTTAATGTCAAAAGTTTAACTATTATTCAAACAATGGAACTAATTATTCCTTTGCGTTACCATTTTGACATTTTAACAAAATCTTTCTACATCTGGTTTGATTTAATATGTTTAAGATTTTGCTGTGATTTTTTATTTGCGATCATGAAAAGTCCTCATGGTTTGGTTGGTATATGCTTTGCCCTATCTGGACAGAGTCTGGAAACAGGAAATCCTGCGTTTGTCTAAACAACAAAACACATTTACCATGGTTCATTTCCCATCAACCATGTTTTGCTTTGGATTCAAATCATCACTATAGATTAGTGCAACTTTTGTACAAGTGTCAATGATATGCAGCTTCACAACGATTAGAATGTAATATTCTTGTGGTTCAGGAAATTCATCTGTAGCTATCGCAGTACAAATGGTCCATATTATAATTATGTATCTAGGCATTGTGTTGATATTTTTCACCACATGCGGACTGAAATCACTCCCAAGCACTCAGGTTTCCAATGTGTTCTCCAGGCAACGGAGAGGACACCGCCTGCATGCTGTCCGCCCTGGCCGCTCCCCTTCCCTGGATCATCCACCTTCAAGAGGACGCGGTGAGTGCACAGGGAGCATGACAAGTCCTGGGACCTTCGGAGAGTCAGAGTGCAGGTTCGAACACTTTCTGTCAATAAGGTGTTAACTTTATGATAGTTGTAGTACAAAAGCTAACGCATTTTTAAAATATCACGAGACTTGAAAATACACGTATAAAATTTATTTTAATACTTGAATATTCACTCATTTCAAAACACACTACACTTATTTTACATCTAACACTGGAGTGTAGGAAGTGAAGCCTTACACTGACCTACGACACAAGCGGGGAGGAAGGATATGGAGTGTGCGTGTGTGCAGGGGTATGTGACATATAAAAATACGGACG